ATGTGAACCAAGTGGATGAAGGCTGCTCCAGTCTCCCTGCGCTCCCTGGAAACCTACCCAAAAGCATCTGTGTCTTGTGCTTGGGGAAATGACTGACACAAGTGGCACAGGTGCCTGCTGTGGTCCCATTTCCTTCGTTTGCCATCCCCAGCACAAGCAGGGCCACCCCCACGGGTGTCCATCTCCAGGGTCTGGCCAGGGCTGAAGGACGGTGCTGAACCTGCAGCCACCTCTGTTTCTGCAGCCACCCCTGTTGAACCCCTTGATCCATCTGGGAAAAAACCAAACCATCCCCAGACCCCCCAAACCCCAGCTTTTCACCCCTTGCCCGCCTGTGCCTGCCTTTATCCCTGCCTCAAGCCGTATCCGACACAACAAGCAGCTTCCCAGGGCATCCTAAAACCCCACACCCCGGCAGGATCTGCTTCACCCTGGAGGGGAACTGAGGGCTTCAGCCCCAGCCCTTTTGGTTTCTCTGCCCTCCCAGGATCCCTGTGGGGATGCCGAGCCCTGGTGTGACCCCTCTGTTCTCCTGCAGGATTTACATTGTCTCAGTCCTGTTCAGTACAAGATGTTTTATTAAATTGTCAAAGGACGTACAGTCAGACGTCAGGGGAGGGCATGGAGCTGGCTCCATAACTTAACAAGAAAGTACAGGTAATTGTGGGATGCAAATAAATAGAGCTTATATGGACTGCAGCTTCACTTGGAGGTGATGGTCGACCCCTTCTGCCACTGGTACTCCTGAAACCATCTCTCCTCTGGGGCCACGCAGACCTTGTTCCCCTTCCTCAGCTCCACACTGCGAGGCAGACAAGGGCTGCGTTAGCCAGGGGGATGTGGGATCTGGCAGTGCCCTCGGGCACCCCAGCAGCCTGGGGATGCCTGCAGCATCCTGCCCCCCACGTCCGCCCAAAGTGCCGAAACTGTGGCTTGCTTCCTGCTGGATGGCAGCTGAAATGGGGAAGCTGGGAGCCATCTGGGATAGAGCAGTGAGGAGGGAGGTGAGTGTGAAGAGTTGGGGCAGGGCAGCCTCAGAGGGAGCGGCTTGTTTTGGGGGATCCTCAAAGGGAATACAACTGGCAGGGAAGTGGCAAGTGAGGGTGAAGAGTGGGGTACAAGGGAGGAAGGCTAGGTGAAAGCCAGGGGTACTCACAGAAAAGCCTTGTGAGAGCAGTGAGAAGGTGTTTTCTGGTGGCCCTTGATGTAGATGGCAGGGATTTTCTTCTTGACGAACATGCCCTTGTAGCAGCACTTGTCGTAGAGGCTGCGGACTGAGAGGAGAGGGGTTGGTGCTCTCCTACACCTGCCCTGAGAGCTGTGGGTGCTGCCCAAGGGATGTGGGTGCTGCCTGAGGAGTGTGGGTGCTGCCCCAAGGGGTGTGAGTGCTCCACCAGGGACTCTCCTGCTCCCTCCCACTACAAGGGGTCCCTTTTGCATCCCCACCAGCGCTGCTTTGCCCCCGGCTAGGAGCCCCCCGTTTCCCTGCCCGCAGGGGGCTGTTACTGAGCTCCCCAGCTGGAGTGCCATGGCTAATGCCATCCCCAAGCCTGTTTCCTCCTTTTGAACAGGACTGGGACAGCCCCATGCCCGGGGGGCTGGTGATGCCCCTCAGCCCCCCAAGCCCACGGCTGAAGCAGGGTTTGAAGCTCTCCCTCCCCAGCCCCCAGCAGCCAAAAGAGCTGGGGACAGCACTGGGATAGCCATGGGGAAAGCCTTGGTGCTGGTACTCACAAGACATGCCCTGGCTTCCAGTCCAGACAGCCACCAGCAGCAGGGCCAGCAGAGCCAAGGAGGAGGCCTTCATGTCCAACACGGGGCTCAATCAATGCCAGCAATGGGCAGCTCTAGTTGATCCGGTGCCACCAAGAGCTACTTGCCCATCCTGCCTGCCCCTCGGGGTGATAAAGCCCCTGGCCAGGCTTTCCATGACAGCTCTGGACTCTCCCCGCGGAAAGAACCGCCCGGAGATGTTGTTAAAGGGCAACTGGTGAATGGAAATTCTTCCTCCAGGCCCCTCCAGCCCCTGCGGTATCCAAGCACTGCTGGAAAGTGTGGCAAGCAGCCGGCAGCTCTGCGCCACGGGTGAAGCACCGGGGGTTTGGTTGTTGCTGCCGGCAAAACCACACAGGATGATGCTCACACTTGCCAAAGCCCCGGAAGAGTTTCTTTTTTGAAAACCACCTGTTATCAGCTTGGCCATGATACTTCTCTCACAGCTTTGCACTGGGGTGTGTGGCTCAGCGGTGGCTGGGCTGAACCCCAGCCCACCCTGAGCCCCATTGTTGCCCATAGTGGTGGCTGTGCCCATCCCGGTGACAGTGCCCATCACATCTCCTCCTGGCATCCCAGGATCCTGGACTGTCGGTGAGGTCCAACCAGGCATCCTGGATCAAATTTCGGCCAGGGGTCTCCACTCATTAGATTGGCTGATGAGGACACGGGAAGCCCCCTCCTTGTGGGCTGTGCCTCTTGCCCCTCTCACTGGTGGCTTCCCCAAAGCTCGCATGGACACTGTCACATGCACCCCCTGGGCCCCCTCGCAGAGACTTCAGCTCTTTCTGGCTCCTTGCTCACCCCAGCCCTTACAGATGAGGTTTCACACCCGGGCAGGAAAGCCAGCAGCAGGATCTGACCCCCCCAAAGACACACACACACACACACACACACACACACACACACGCATGCACAGCCAGACGTTTGCGTGCGTGAGATCACGTTTAATTCTCTTCAGTGAGCTGTACAAGAAATAAGCGTGGAGCTGCTCCCCCTTAAGCCCTCTGCTGCTGCCAGGCAGCCTCACTGACACGCTGGGGTGCAGGCAGCTGCCTGCATGCAGAGTGTGGGGGCTGGCAGGGGGACGGGCCCCCAGCACCCTGCAGGGTCTGCGCACCCCATCCCGCGGGGATGCCAAAGGCCCTTTGCCTTTGGGAAGGCGGTGAGGATCATTGCAGTGAGATGGGGAGGATGTCCCCAGTGACGTGGTGTTTCCACAGCTACCTCTGCTAAGGGGTCGCTTTTGGGGTGTCCCATCCCCCGGGGAGGGGACGCCGTGCGCTGCCTCCTGCTGTCCGGCTAACTGGGGATGGAGAAGGAGCTGACTGGGAAGCTCTGCTGGTACCTTTTCACCCAGGCCCTGCTCGCCTGGGCGCAGATCTCCTTCCCGCTCCTCACCCTGAAGCTGGGGCAGAGAGAAGAGGGGGGTTAGCGAGGTGGTGGTACAGGGACCCCGGTGCTGAGTTTCTGAAGGGTTTGGAGGTGCAGGGGATCAGGATTGGGCCTCCCAAAGCAAGGCACGGGGTTCAGAAGGGTCTAGACCTGCCTTTACCCCCAGGACTGGGTTTAGGGTACTCACATCACCGCCTGGTGCGGGCACTCAGGGCTGGTGCGGTAGCAGTCCACGATGTTGTCTCTCTTGATCCTTCTCATCTGGAAGTTGAAGCAGCACTTGTCTGGCACGGCCGGGGCTCCTGGGGGGAAAACTGGCTTAGCTTAGAGACCCCCACCTCCCATCTCAGCACTTTTTTGGGGGAAGCCCCCCTGCACCCCATGCACGAAGCAGACCCATCCCCACAACCCTGGGGGCTGTCCCCGTCCCTCAGCCCGTGGGGACGGAGCGTGCGACCGTGCTCACTCTGGGCCAGGCTCTGGCAGCACAGCGCGGCGAGGAGCAGGAGGAGGACGCAGACTCTGCTGAGTTTCGCCATGCCGGGCTGCGGGGGGGTTTGCTCGGCGGTGCCGGGGCAGCGCTGCCGTCTGCCGGAGTCGGAGCCACCAGAAACCTTTTATGGGGGAGCACAGCGGGGCTGGCTTCCCCCAGGGCCAATGGTTGCGTGAGCAGGGGGAGGACCTGGTCCCCTGCCATATCCCAAAGCACAGAGGATGAGCAACACGCATCCCCTCCCAGCGCAGTCCCGGGAAGGGAAAAACTTGCTGACGGGCCGTGCTTTTATCCCCTGATGGGCTTGGGACTTTTTTAATGAGCATTAGGGCCAGTGGCTGGGTTGCTCCCAAAGTTTGGCTCCGCACCCATGTGCCCCATCGCAGAAGCACCAAGGTGGGCAAAAGAATCTGGAGATGAGACCTTGGGCCAAGCTCAGCACCCTGTGGGATCCGCACACACTCCCAAGGGTCCCCGTCCTCCCCCTGCACCACAAAGTGTTGCATCCCACCGCTTTGCATCCCGACCCAGGGAACAAATGGCCAAATAATCCCCCCTTCTAATAAAAAGCCATAGAGAAACAGCTTCTGTTTGGTTGCACCTGTCACGTACACGGCTCTGTGCTGGTTTTTGGGGGGTTTGGGGCCCTTTGGGTGGGATGAGGCCAGGTAAGTGGCTTCGCTTTCTTCCCCACGGTGCCGAAGCAGCAGCTCCTGTTCTTGGCTATGCTGAGCTGGGAATGGCAGGGGCCAGTCTGGGGCCTCCCCAGTGGATTTTGCCTGCCTGCAGCTGTCCAAAAAGCCCCATCATCCCCCAGTCCCAGCAAATCCCAGGGCGCATCCCAGCTGCCAGCAGCTGGTGGGAAGCAGCAGGAAGATGCAGGCTTGTGGGACTAGGGACGCTGACGGCACCCCGATGGCATTTTGGCCACCCTGAGCCTGAGGTGAGGAGGGCATGGGGTGGTGGTCCGGGCAGGGACCTGCCCCAGTGGAAACGGGGGCCACCTCCACGGTGGGACTGTGTATGTACCTCCCTTTGCTCCTTTTCCCATTTCCCAGAAATGGTCCCATTTCCCAGAAATTGTCCCATTTCCCCAAAATGGCAAAATGAAACTGAAGCCCAAGGAAAACAAAAGAGGGTTTGTTGACCTGGGAAAGGCCCCTTTTAAAGACTCCCATGCAAAACGCTGGGATACATCAGGCCAGGGAATTCCAGGGATGATGTTCCCAGCACCTGCAGCACTCCTCTGTGCCAAGCCCCGGCGCTGACGTCTGCCCCATGGGATGAGTGGACCCTGTGGATGGGGGATTTTGGAGCATGGAGGATTTTCAGCCCTGGTTGTGCCCCTGGAGCTGACAGATCCTGAGCACCCCCGGGACTGGGGGCTTGCCTGCGTCTTAGGAGGGATATCCCCCTTTCCCCTCCCCACATTGGCCAGGATGGGGCTTTGCTGGGTTGCACTGCCCTGGCACTGGAGCTGGAGATATTCATGGGGCTCAGAGGGGCCAGAGGGAAAACCAGGTGCTCCCATGGCTCTTGGTGAATTTGGTCCCTGCTCGGCAGCACAGCAGCCCCTGGAAATGCTGCTCACCCCTGCGTGAGAGTTGCATTTCCAGCCGTGTTTGCAGATGCTTTATTGATGCTGCGGCGCCTCTCCTCATTTCAGCTGGTCGATAACCCCGGGGGAGGAAGATCTGAGTGCAGCGCCCGCGGGATGGGGTGGCTGCTGCAGCTGGGGCAAGCAAAGCCATAAACGTGATCATAGCAGCTTTGTCAGGGCAGGTCTGTTTTCTATAAAGGATTTGTTCGATTTATTCTTCTCCCTTTTAAGTCTCTGTCTCAATCAGATCAGCTTTTCCATTACCTGACTGGGCTGATGGTAAGATAACCACTAAATTCTCACCCTGCGTGTGCTGTTTCCCTTTTTAATGGTCCTTGACTGGCCCTGGCCACCCGGGACTTCCCCAGCTGCTTGCGGAGATGGTTTACACTGAGATGGGTCCACCTTCGCCTGTCCCCAGGAAGAGGTGGCTCATCGTCCCCAGCCTGCACCAACACCCTTGCAGAGCCCATCTGGCTTCTGCCCCGATGCCATCACCTTCCCCAAAAAGCAACAGAGTTTTGGGGGTTTTCTGTCCAAGGCTGGAAAACCCATCAGGAATCTGCATCTCAGCCCCCAGTGCTGCTCACTGATATCATCCGGTACCTGGCCACCCCGAGGCTGCAGGGATGGGCCCATCTCCTGCCGTCAGAAGATGCAAACCTATAGAAATAAGACGGAAGAGATGCTGCCATCCTTTTCTGGGGGAGAATTCACCAGGAAAGCCACGGCCAAGTCCCAGTTTCAGGCACGTTAACTGTGAAGGAGCAATTGCATTGCAGGAGGAAGCTGCATCCAGGCTGCCATGCTCGGACCATCCCATCCCACCTCGCCTGCTTAATCCAGAAATGGAGAGAGGCCGGTAGCGATGCTCCCCAGCTGTGGGAACCAGGAACCCCACAAAATGATGGGATCACGTGGCTTTGTTGTAGATCGCTGGGATTTTGGAGGCTTGTCTTGATTTTGGAGTCCGTTCTCTGCCCCTGGCAGTGGGATGAGGGTCACTCTACATCCCACCGGCCCTGTAACAGAGAGCGTGGCCCCAGAGGGAAAGGTTTTCAACCCAAAGTGGTGGGTGGGGGGCTCAGGGCACCCATGGCAGAGCTGATCCCACAGGAGAGGAGCTTTTCTCGGGATGATGGTCCCTTTCAGCATCACCTGGGGATGCGGTGCACACGTGGTGCCATTCAGGGGGCTCATCTGCGGCGTTTTGTCCTCTCTCAGCTGTCCCAGGCTGAACTCGTCCCCGCCGTGCTCTGCCTGACTCATTTCCTGTGTCCTTTGGCCCACGGCATCCTGGCCGTTGCACACCAAACTCCTCTGCTCGAGATTGCGATCAGGGCTGGGCTGCTCAAATTGACTGATCTCTACACCCAGCTCCCCAGCCTCAGCCTTTGGAAACCCAGAGTTCAAAACTAAAGTAAACCCAAAGCGCTATCTGCCTCCTCATCTGCACCCTGATTGCTGCAGGTTGCACGTATGTCACTATTTCCCAGCAACCCAAAAGACAAGAAGCTGCATTTAATGGTCAGAAAAAAAAAAAAAGAAGAAAAAAAACCCCAGAAGAGCAGATAAGATGCACATAAATTCCCCTGCACCCAGGAGCTGGAGTCAAAAAGAACTCAAAAAATTCACACTGGAGACTTGCTGGGCTCTCTGCGTTTTCTCCAGGCAGAAAACCCAAAGTTGGGCAACGCTGGTGGGATGCAGGAAGGCAGCGATGGACAATGGGGTTTGACACCACCCCAAATTCCCCCACGACCCGGCCCCAGATTCCTGTGGTGCTTGCCCAGGCTGCAGCTGTCAGCAGCTGCAATTTGCTTTAGCAACTGTTGGTTTTCACGCGGATTTTTCTGAAACCACCTGTCCAGGGAGGAAAAGGCGCAGCAGGAGATGAATCCACTTCCCACGGGATGATCCCGGGGTGTTTTCCTCACGCATCCTTCCCCTGGCACCGCTCTGAGCGGCAGCCCCAGCGCAGTCGCCCTTTCCCCTTGGTGTCGGTTGCTTTTTGGAAGTTTCCCTAAAATGCTTTTGCAGATATTTCCTGGGTCGGCTGTGGGAAAGAGCGTCCTCGCTGTCCTGCCAAGCTCACTGAGGGGAAATTGAGAAGTGGGAAGTGCTGGAGGCGGCACTGATGATGGGGATGAGCATGGGCTGTGTGGGGCTGGGTCCCACTGGCTCTTGTTGGTTTTGGGAACCCAGGGCTCGCGTGGGGATGGTAGCAGTGGTCAGACCATGAGCTGAGCGAGGTGCTGGCCCAAGGGAGCCCTTCCTGGCCCCGTTGCCATGGCTCTGCTGGGCCGGGGGTGGGGGGGACGAGGGCAAGATTTGGGGTGCAGCATCACCGCAGCATCACATTTCTGCATCCCTTCCATCCTCGGCTGCTGTTTTTCCTCCGTTTGGCACAAGATGTCAGTGCTGCCCAAGGAACGGCCGCTGGTGCCCTCCATCCCACCACGGCCCGGATGGGCCATGCTGCTCTTCGGGTCCTCGCGTCCCACCCGTCCCTGCCATGCCCAGGTCCCATGAATAAGGGATGGAAAGCAGCTCACTTGGGGGAAGCATCCCTTGGGGGGTGATGAGCTGCTTCATGCTGGGAAAAAAAAACCAAAACCAAAACTTAATAATAGGAAACGGGTGAAAAGGAAGCTGGGAATGAAAAATCTAAACCCTCTACCAGCCACTTGTGGAAAGGGGAGGCGGGGCGGGGGGGGAGGGAAACCTCAAAA